TAGTCACCTGTCGGTCTCCTGTCCTTTCTGAAAGCCATAAAGATGACATTAGTCATTTAGATAACTTGTGTCCTCAATTACCATGGGATTACTGAAACTACCATGAATTTAAGAAAATGGTAGAAATTAATCTAATCTGAATTTTGAAGCATTCCTTTAGATCCCCTCCCTCTAAATATATCAATAAACATTAGAAAGTGATGCTCCTGACTACCATACAAGTTTAAGAAGATAATATTGGTTTTAAAGAATTCAAAGCTATAAATAAACAGCAACAGGCTCTTTAACCAAGGCACTGTTAGCCTAACATGTAAACTAGTTGTTCACACTAATCCTAATATTATCACTTAATATTAGCAAATTCTATTTTATTTTTTAAAACATATTGATCTAAATACATACACATATCGATTTGTTGTATAAATATTGCAAATCAAAACCTTTATTCACTAATAATTACCAAAAATCGTAGTTCTATCTCCTGTTATCAATGCATTCACATTGCCCGCCATGAACTTCCGGGGAACGATCCTCGTCTACATGAACCACGTGACGATAACCGTTTTTGGACTTATTTCAACCATAACAAAGCAGATTTTTTTATAGACAATGTTAACAGTTATGAGACAGGTAGAGACTTAAATCTATACATTATTATCTTGTACAATTCTGACCAAAACATTTAAAAATGGTAAATTAGAAAATAAAGGTTTTTGAGAATTTATATAATAATGTGTCATCTTTTTTTTCCCTCTGTGGGACGAAATAAAGGCATTCGGATCTGTTAACTTCAACCATAGACTGTATATATATTCAACCTATAAATGGATCATGTTGTTTTATATAAAATAGTTATAATGTTGTTGTGTATGTATCATGCTCTGTAACCATATAATTGATATAGCCTATATATTTAACGTTTTTATGGATTAAAAAAATGGTAAAACTGCATTTCAGATATACATATGTGGTTTCCTCTGTTTCGGGATCCCTCTGTTAACAGTTTTTGAATACTTTTCTCTATATATGTAAAGTTTATATTATAATAGAAGTAGTAGCAGCATTGTAGCCTATTAGTATATTAGTAGTGGAAGCAGCACTAAAGAAGCGGCAGTTGGTTGAATGTCACTTTCTCTATTGTCTTTCTCTATCTCTATTGACAAATGCTGCATTCCTCTTGGTCACGTGACCAGCCCGCTGTCTAATCACGTCGTTCAAATGGAGTGACGCAGGAAATTCAAAGTCGGCAGCAACGTCTCTGCCAAGAGGTTTAGCCTGCTGCATTTTCACCGACAGCTGAAGCTTTTCAAAAGCTTCTAAAAGTTATTTATCTCCATGTTTTCATACGAGGGAATCGGGATTTCACTATAAGAATGAATGGTAAAGTTATTGGAACGGGTCCATACCGGGCAACCAAGCTGGTGAGTCTGTTGTTAGCAGAGCAAAGACAAATGTTACGTGAATGTGAGACTGTACGCTAAGTTGTAACGTTAACATTAACTTGCTATGTGCATTTCATGTTGGAAGCGTTACATAACGTACTTTTCCAGCTTTCATTTAATTTAATTTCATTACGTTTTAAGCTAACAATTGTTTTACTTTTGCGCTCTGGTAACGTGACTGAGTTTACGCGTTTTAAATAGTAGGCACCAAATAATAGGACATTTACTAAAAGGGCTCGAAATGTATGTTCAACCAAAGCAACTTGTTATGAAAAAGTTCAGCTCTGCTTTTCTGTGTTTGACCTGACTTCATCAGAACTATGCAGTAAGTGTTGTTTGTCATTTATAATCACATAATTTACATAAGTATTCCCAAGTGTTTACGTAAAGGGAATTGCTGTATCTACCAGGTTAATGGAGTGCTAATGTGTTCTCTGTGCTAATCATAGGTGCTAATGCAACATGCATCCTTGGCAGTCACTATCAGCTATGTAATTACATGTTAAAGAAAATCACAACATGCATTATTGTTTCTGGCTTTTTGGAATATGTAACCCCTTTCAACACCATTCAGTTACTGCATGGCTACATTAATGCAACACCCACACACATAATTTGTATGTTGTTACATGCAATAGTGAACATACTACATTAACAACAGGCTGGCATTTTATTTTTTTAAAGGCACATTTGAATCCCAGTGAGTTATTTACAAACCACATGGTTCCCCATGAGCCTTTTTGATAGCACTCACTTAATTCTTAAATACTAAAAGCACAGGTGTTCCTGATATATTTAAGAAGCGCTGTGTTCCACTTAAGCCTCCAGCATGCACAATAGCATGGTCCTGAAACAAAAGCAGCTTAATGGAATTCAGCCATTGTCCATTTTATTATTTGAACCTCTGCCTTTCTTTCTGTGATAATGTCAACATGTCTTTGTTACCATGTCAGGACAATCTCTTTAGAAAAGCCCTCTGCTTGGTCAATAAAAATGACATGAAGTTTGACAGTGCACTTGAAAAAATACAAAAATGGTGTACCATACTATTTTTACATTTTCCTGATTGTTTTCTGCCTAGTTTATTCAGCTAGAGTTAGGTCTCATACAGCATGGAGTATGTTGAAATACAGTTTATTGAAGTGTTCTTAACAAACTAAAGTTAGTACGTTGTAAAAACATATTTATTTTCCCCCAATGCCCGTTTTTCTCAGGAGACACACATTCCACTTCAACAAAAAATACAGATGAGCTGGAGAGACATGCCAATAGATTTTCTTTCTTAATGAAAGAATACTTGTGCCTCTTCCCCCAATTGGCTCCAGACTTACTTATTGGCTTTTAAATGTCTCAAGTTTTTCAATTTTTCACATTTGACGTTTATTTATTTTCGAAAATTCGGACCAACAGAAGTGGGCAGTAATTTGCTTCAAACAACAGTGTGATAATCTCCTGGGTTGTAATGACCTTGTAAAACCAACATTTCCTGCTCCATCCCTCTACTTCCATCTTCTTCTTTTTTTCTTTTTTTATCTACTACTACTTCTGATGACTAGATGAGTGTAGTCTGGATACTGCGTGTGATTTTAATCACTATTCAGAGACCAGTTATGTGCACATATTTACTGCTGCAACATAATATTGTATGAATAAAATTAGTAACATGCACAGTTTTTTACTACAACAAGCTCTATATGCATGTCTGTTTTCCCAGTTACTAGAACAGTGTAACAAAGCCTCAATAATATTAAAAACAGGAACCCAGTGAATGCATCAAATGCTGCTATCTGGGCTCTATCAGCAGTGTTGCTATGTAGTTGGTTTCCTCCCAAATGGGCTTGTTTCATTAAGTTGGACGGGGAAAATTGCGTTGGGCTGGTAAATGACATTTTGAATGCTTTTTTCAACATTTTGCTGGTTTTTGAACATATTGTGGAAAAAATATTACCAAACAGTCCTGTCATTTTGGTGGAGGCGTGTGGCGCAGTGGAGTTGTGCGTTGCTGTTCGGATCAAGGGAGCACAGGTTCAAACCCCACTGCAGTCAGCATGTCGTTGTGTCCCTGGGCAAGACACTTCACCCCAAATTGCTCCTGTGGGGATTGTCCACAGTATTGAGTATGCAAGTCGCTTTGGATAAAAGTGCCTAACAAGTAACATGTAATGTAATGTAAATGTTATGGTCGATCCAATTAATGATTGTGTTCAACTCATTTATAAATAGTTGATTTTTACAGCTTGTACATTAATA